CTGCTCTCAGGCGCAGAGACGTTCAGTCTCACCGTGTCCTTCTTGTTCCTGCGGAGCTGACTGGCCTTGTGCCTCCGATCCAGCTTCTTCAGCGCCTTCCTCTGCTTCCTGCTGAGAGCCTTCACTGCCACACGGCCTGGGGGGGACAGCAGGAGGTCAGCAATGCCCCCTGCAGGCTCGGTGCACACTGCCCTGTGACCCCGGGGTCAGCGCCTGCAGACTGGCACTCTGCTCAGCCACATCCCGCAACATCGCGAAGCGCAGAAAGCGCAGGGCCCGCTGACCCCAGTGTCTGAGGGGAGCTGCTGTATACCTGAACCCGAAACGCAATGTCACGCTCTCACACCTCGAGCTCGAACACCGCCCGCCTTGGATTCGAACGGGAGGTGACGTCACGGGGACAACAAAACAGCCCCGTGAGTGTCGCGAGGGAGGCAAGTCTGAAAACGTCCGAGCTAGAGCGCTCCTGCGCCACCGCCGGCGAGTCTGCAAACCTGTCGCTCCCAGGCGCACGAACAAGCTGCGAAAAGTGGAAACTACTCGTGTAGAAGGTGAATCAGTCAAATCTAGCGCGGATAAACAAGTTGCATAAACAGAATAGACTCTCAAAATGAAAACAAAAATAAGATTTAGGACTTTCTCTGTCCTGAAGGTGGTCCCGGGTATTAGAAATCGTACAAGTTACCGAAAGCACAACATCAGCACCGACGCCACGAGACCGCTTGGCCATTTAAACGCACGTGTTCCAGCGCCGCTGCCCAGACCTGCCCTCCTCAACACAACCGTGGCGGCTACGCAGCCCTCGACCCCCGCCGCCCGCTTACCCTTGTTCTCCCGCTCAATCTCCCCCTTGGTTCGGTGTTTGCCGTGTTTGTGCTGCTTGTTTTTCTGTTTGTATATCCCGGCTCGGTGAGCCTGCTGCTGCTCGCCAGCGGCCGCCATCTTTCGCGTGGTGCATAGGGCTGTTTTTCCCAGGGAGTACTTCCGGGGTCACAGCGCTTTGACCCGGCGCCATGATGCAGCTGAAATAGCGTATTTTGGAATTTGGAAGTAAAACGATTATCATTTGTAGGAAGTGCACTGACATTTTTTTTTTCAAAAGGCGTCACATAGGTGTATTCCTTCTGCTGCTAAGCTGTCGTCAGCGGGCGGTGTACCGTGACAGTCACAGTCCAGTCGTGAGCGGGGTCTCCCCTGGCATCAGTACAAGATGTACAGGATACAGGTGCTGCTTGTAGGATCGAGTCTCAGTTCGGGGCAAGCATGTGCCTGTTCACCGGTCTCAGCTCTGGGTGTCGCACGTCACCCCTTAGATATTATAACAGTCTTGCATCCACAGCATGACTGTCACGTTCTCAGCTCGTAAGAAGAACCTTTTACACGAGCAGTCGAAGTAGTCAATTAAACAGATAACCTAATTATTTTCCAATTTAGACACATATAAAAGTTTTCTTAAATCATTTTACAGTTGACACATCAGAATAACATACAGTAAAATAATAATCACGTGCTACTCGTTTTGTGACATCCGTGAGTTTCATGTCAAATGTGAAACACCCCACATATCATTATTAATTAGATAATTTGAAAAATCATTTGACTATAAACACAAAATAGCTAGCTTTTTGACGATAAGCATTTTTAATTGTTCGGAAATGTGATGCGAATAAATTTCAATCCCTAAAAACTTAACTAAAATGAAAATACCGATCTGGACGCAGGACACTCTGGCCGCTAGGTGGCAGCATTACAAGAAACAAAATGAACGGAGTCAGAAACGTTCCCAGTCCCCGGCGCGCCCCCTGCTGGCCATGCCGGAGCAGCCGACCCCGGAAGAGAACGGGCGACACGCCGCCTCGCCGTGATGAGTCCCGGATCCGGCTCGTCCCGCAGGACCCGGAGCCTTTGCCGCAGGAAGTCCGGGCGGCGAGATAAGAGCCGCTGTGCAAACTTTCCGTGAGGCCCGAGCTCGGCTTTCGCCTTCCTTCTGAAAGCGCGACCTCGGGAGCCTCTTATATTCCTGTGGTAAAATATCTCCATTCGCCACCACGAGCTGTAAATGATGTAATGGTCCTGTAAGACTGGACCGCGAAGGTCCTGCTTGGGACGACGTGACATACAAGCTTAAACAGATTAAAGTCTCTTCAGACGAAATATGTAGAATATTGAATAAGTGAATTATGAATTATCCCACAATAAAACAACTGCAGGCAGAAATGAGCTACACCCACTCAGACACGTTTCTATAAATAGGATTTACACACGAAACAGCCAAAACACAGGCTGGGTGCTGTGCTAGACACATGCCTCTGGGAGCACTGCTCTCTGAAGCAGCTCCTTCTCCCTCCTCGTCTCCCTCTCCTTGTTTTGCTCATTAGCCACCTGGCAAAGTCTTTATTTTATCACTTTCTTGGCCATATGTAATTTCTTGCATTAGGAATTTGTCTTTTCCGCATACCCCAGCTTGCTCTCCATGAGACACAGAGACAGGGAGAGAAGCTGGGGGTCAGAGCGCAGGGTCAGCCATTTATACAGCACCCCTGGAGCAGCTGGGGTGAAGGGCCTTGCTCAGGGGCCCAAGAGAGTAGGACTCCTCTGCCGGCCACCGGATTCAAACCGGCAACCTTCCAGCCACAGGGGCAGATCCTGAGCCACAGAGCCACCGCTCCACCACAGGGCGGAGATCCTGCGCCGAGCTCAGCCCCCAGCCCTGCTGTACTGGCAGTGTCATCACCCGCCAAGCCCGGCTCTGCCAGGGATGGGTGGGCTGGATTTGGCTGGTAAGTTCAGGGACTGCTGAGGCACAGCGCCCCCGTGTGGCTGGGCAGGTGTCTGTTTTTCTCTGCTTCTACGGCAAACAGGGCAAGACTTGGGACCCCCCAGCTGGGGACAGAGACAAGACCGAACCGACGCCAGGAACGGGTCACAGGGAAATGCCAACGACACCGCCCATCCCTTCCAGCCCAGGAGAGCTGTAGGCTGTCAGTCAGCAGGAGGCGCTGTGGCACCAGGAAGGGTTTTCGGCCAGGTGAGGTCCTGTAGTTGCAGGCCTTGTTTTAAATGATATCAGGTAACAGTGCGGTTCAGTTAGTTCACAGAGCTAACAGAGCCGGTTAAGCCTGTGGGATTGTGGGACTGTGGGCGGTCTGAATAAAATTCTGTCTGATCCTGCAATTCCAAGATCCCTGCGGTGCTCCGGGTACATGGATCAAAGACTCGGAGGCGCAGTCTAGGTGTAGCTGTCCGGCTCAGCGAAAGGCAGGCCGCTGTACTGCTCTCGCTCGCTGGAAGTATTGTGCATATCGAAGTCACATTTGTAGTGGCGCTTGTGCCGTAAAACGGAGGCACTGTGTCTTTAAAACACTTGAAGAACAGAAATTGCCCATTTCCTTCATAACCCCCCCCCCCATCTGCTTATACAAGCAATCATAGCGGCGGAATGCGTCTCCCATTCATGAGAGGGTTTCAGCGAGCTTCCTGTCCGCCTGGATACAGAGCCCAGGCCAGCTCATTGGCAGGAGGCGCGAGGCTGGACCGCAGCCAATCAGGAGTGCCTGGCAGTGATTCTGTGCCGTGATTGGCTGTGCCCGCAGTGGGGAATAGAGTGTTGCTGTCTTGTCTATGAACTGCAGCAATGGCATACCTTTTCACCGTTTTAGAGATCAGCTCATTTAACCTACATTTTGTCAGTGTGGGAATGAGAGATTACTCCACCATGCAGAAGAACAGTTCTGGGTTTTGTTGTGTCTGTCCTTTTTGAATTTCATTGCACATTTTGAGCCCTGTGATCCCCGATATTGTTATAGTAGGATCCACTCACATACATTTTTCAGTTTGTCTTTGGGTAGCTAATGCTTTGAGAATCTGGGTTCATCTCTCTTGGTGCATTAAATTGGGAAATATGTGGACCAGTGATTACATTTCTCAGACTGACAACGTCTGCTTGGGGTTAGAGCTGAGGCACAGGGAGAGGGGCAGTGTGGG